GGGGGAGTGACAGAATGGAGAATTGGGCGAGAACTTCCTGCCCTATGAGGGCATAGAAGTCCTTTTATATAATTGTTCTTTTCAATTAAATACTACTTTTTGAGCTACGCATCTCAAGTGGAGTAAATTGCATTGTTGGCTAAAGGAAAAAAGAAGGAGGGGAGGAAACTCCTTGTCAGAATGTATCCCTCAAAGTACATGAGACACGCAGCTGAGGCAAACCGCGCTTTTATGAATAGCGTTGCCGTGAGCAGCAGTGCGGATGGTTAAGCCTCGGTTCTGGTGAGTTACGGATCAGAGTGATAAAGCTATGGCTTTGTAGAAAGCGTGATCTTCGATGCAGACGATGCCTGCACAGCATTTATACAGCGTGTGTGCAAGTGTTCATTGCCAAGATTGCTGAGGCTTGGAGTTCCGCTTTGGTCATCACTATGACACATTTGGATCGCCCGGAATGATGTTGATCTATTAGTGAGTGTTGGTGTGCATGAGTATTGCCTCAATGCGTTGTGTATCGACGAAAAGGACTATAAAAATGCAAATAAAGCAGTTTCTCGAATGCTCTAAATTCCAACTAACGTCTGAAGGAAAACTTCCCATACATTTAGCAACGGGTACAACTTCTGGTGTTACAAATGTGTCCAGAGATTTCTACCTTTACAAGACGAGAAAAAATTCACATCTACCTACTCATGCTTCTATTTCACTCTAGCATTTTCAGTAAATCTTCAATTTTTCTGCATAGTCATATGTATTCAAGGTAATGTCTAAAGGTGATGGTTTGTTGGCGAAATATGAGCGAATGAGAGATCGGAGCGGTGCCACCCTTCATTCTATCCCATATTTCAGTCTGAGATTTCTTGATGATAATGGAGAACAAAATCATGGCCAGGATGCAAAAAAACAACCACATAGAGGTCATGCTCGATGAATCTGCGAACATTCCACCAAATATCATGAGAGAATTACCCATTCAAATGCCTAATGCCACGTCCAGCAGCAACCACTTCCCCATCTCTTTTATCTCTACCAGTTAGAATGGTTGTCTGAACCACCGCCGCATTGCAAATCACCACCTCCTTCAAATTAATGCACTTGTTCCACTT